CTTAAAAACTTCCAGTGTTGGAGCATTCCCTGCTTCTGGAGGCAGGTTCTTAATAATAATAATAATGTTGGAAGGGACCTTGGGGGGTCATCTAGTCCAACCCCCTGCTCAGGCAGGAAACCCTATACCATTTCAGACAAATGGTATCTGAAGGCAGAAGAAGGAGTAATGGATAGACGATAATTAAAGAGAGAGCCAATCTGGAAATAAGGAGGAATATAATAATAATAATAATAATAATAATAATAATAATAATAATAATAATAGTTGGAAGGGACCTCGGAGATCATCTAGTCCAACCAACTGCTCAGGCAGGAAATCCTATACCCTTTCAGACAAATGGCTGTCCAGTCTCTTCTTAAAAACTTCCAGTGTTGGCGCATTCACCGCTTCTGGAGGCAAGGAGTTCCACTGGTTAATTGTTCTCACTGTCAGGAAGTTTCTCCTTAGTTCCAGGTTGCTTCTCTCCTTGATGAGTTTCCACCCATTGCTTCTCGTCCTGCCTTCAGGCGCTTTGGAGAAGAGCTTGACTCCCTCTTCTTTGGGGCAGCCCCTGAGATATTGTCGGTTTTAGATTTCATTGCATCATCTAGAACAGGGGTCCCCCAACGCCCGGGCCGTGGACCGGTACTGGGCTGCAGCACGCCAGCAACCGGTCCGCACAAACAAGCAAAGCCCCATCCGTGGGATGCAGGCAGCACACAAAACCACGCACCCTCCGGTCCGTGGAAAAACCTTTCCCTACGGAACCGGTTCCTGGTGCCCCAAAAGTTGGGGGCCTCTGATCTAGAACGAATAACCGACGAGTACCGAGGTGCTGCTCTATTATTATTTGCATCCGGAGGGACCGAAGGGAGATTGCCATAATTTGTCAGTGCAGACATCACACAAAGAGCTTTTTAGCAGCACAAAGAACTTGTTAAGAGTGTGCAGATTGTCCCAGAAGCTAAATGTAGAAGGATGAAGTTTTCCTCTCAACCAGAAATAATTTTGCTCTGTTTTTTTGCCCTTTCCCGTTGGTAATTCCTTCTGTGTCTCTAGCCCCACTCACAAAATAATTTTGTTTCTTTCGCTGAACACAGTTGACATAAAGTATACAGGTAGTCCTCAATTTAGTTTAGGGACTGTTCCAACTTACGACAGCGCTGGAAAAAAAGAGAGATTTTTGACCGTTTTTCACAGTTAACCACCTTTGCAGCATCCCCACGGTCAGGTGATCAAAATTCGAAGGCTTGGCAACTGGCTCACAGTTATGACGGTCGCACTGTGATCCCCTTTTGCGACCGTCTGGCGTCTGAGTCAAGGGGGAAAGCCAGATGTACTTAACAGCTGGGTTATTGATTTAGCAACTGCCATGATCTTTTAGCTTTGGCTAAAAGAGGTCTTCAAATATGGCAGGACTCACAACAAATGTCTCGCTTAGCGACGGAAATTTTGGGCTCAGCTGTGGTCATAAGTCGAGGGCTACTGTAATTTTCAGCTGTTTCTCACTGTTTTATTAGTTTTCATTGCACCAGCTTGGTTATAAACCAGGGGTCTTCCAACTTGGCCCTTTGATGACTTGTGGACTTCAACTCCCAGAATTCCTCAGCTAGGCACGCTGGCTGAGGAATTCTGGGAGTTGAAGTCCTCAAATCATGAAGGGGCCATAGTTCCCCCATGCTGGCTCAGGAATTCTGGGAGTTGAAGTCCACCAGTCATGAGGGGGCCATAGTTCCCCCATGCTGGCTCAGGAATTCTGGGAGATGAAGTCCACCAGTCATGAGGGGGCCATAGATTCCCCCATGCTGGCTCAGGAATTCTGGGAGTTGAAGTCCTCAAATCATGAAGGGGGCCATAGTTCCCCCATGCTGGCTCAGGAATTCTGGGAGTTGAAGNTGAAGTCCACCAGTCATGAAGGGGCCATAGTTCCTCCATGCTGGCTCAGGAATTCTGGGAGATGAAGTCCACCAGTCATGAAGGGGCCATAGATTCCCCCATGCTGGCTCAGGAATTCTGGGAGATGAAGTCCACCAGTCATGAAGGGGCCATAGTTCCTCCATGCTGGCTCAGGAATTCTGGGAGTTGAAGTCCACGAGTGATGAAGGGACCATAGTCCCCCCATGCTGGCTCAGGAATTCTGGGAGTTGAAGTCCACCAGTCATGAAGGGGGCCATAGTTCCCCCACGCTGGCTGAGGAATTCTGGGAGTTGAAGTCGAGTCATAAAGGGGGCCATAGTTCCTCCACGCTGGCTCAGGAATTCTGGGAGTTGAAGTCCACAAGTCATAAAGGGGGCCATAGTTCCCCCATGCTGGCTGAGGAATTCTGGGAGTTGAAGTCCACCAGTCATCCAAGGGCCAAGTTGAAAGACCCCCTGTTACAAACGGATTTAGCAGTCTGTCCAGATCTGGTAGATTTAACCTGACCTGACCTGTTTGCTTTTCTCTCCTCTCCAGATGGAAAGGTCAGCCCGGGTCCCCTTCCTGGTTTAGCCACCCCTTCCTCCCTCCCTTCCAATTCTTCGGCTGCGGTGGACGTTGCAGGTCCCGTGAAGGCATTAATCGACGGCAGTGGAGGTGAGGGTCCTTGGCGTGGGTCTCGTTCCTCCAGGAGGGCAAATGCTTCTCTGATGTGATTCTTGCCCTGGGCAGAACATCTGTGGAGATTCTCCCTCACCCAGGTCAGGGTTGTCCCAAAGGTGCTTTTTCAGGAGTTTCTTTTTCCCTCTTGAAGACCTTTCGCTTCTCACCCCAGACGCTTCTTCAGTTCTGACTGAATGGTGGAGGATGGAAGGATTTAGATGCCTTGCAGTCATCTGGTCATTCACGCTCTTTCTGAGAGTCCTGGAGACCACTTGCAGGTTCATCTGTATCTTCAGAGTCACCTGAGTGTAAACAGGTGTGCTGTTCACCCTGTTGACCCATGACTGCTATGCCAGGTTTGCCAACCAACCATATTGTGAAGTTCGCAGACGACACAACAGTAGTGGGCCTTATTCAGGATGACAAGGTGGAAGCTTACCGCAAGGAGGTGGAAGGGTTGGTGAACTGGTGCAAGGAAAACGGCCTAGTTTTAAATACCGGAAAAACCAAAGAGATCATTGTTGATTTCAGAAAAGGCAGGCACAGCCACACTTCTCTGTGCACAAATGATTCACCTGTGGAGATGGTTACCAGCATCAAATTCCTGGGTGTGCAACTAACGAGTAAGCTGGCTTGGTCGCTCAACAGTGAGAAACTGGTGAAGCGGGCACAGCAGCATCTGCATTTTCTGCGCCGCATGAGAAAAGCACATCTTCCTTCCCCTGTCCTGACCACTTTCTACAGGGGGACGATCGAGAGCATCCTGTCACACAGCATCACAGTCTGGTTTGGAAGCATCCCTGCTTCAGACAGGAAGGCGGTGCAGAGAGTGGTGAGGACAGTAGAAAAGATCATTGGCAGTTCCCTCCCTCCCATCCAGGACATAGCACAGAAGCGTTGCTTGAGCAGGGTCCGTAAGATTATCTGGGACACCACACACCCTCTTCACAACCTGTTTTCCTTGTTCCCTTCTGGGAGGAGTGGGCTCCGTAGTATCCAAAGCAGAACATCCAGATTCAGCCACAATTTCATTCCATACTGCATTAACCTTGTGAACATTCAAGCTTCCTCCTTCCGTTATATATTCAAGATGGACAGCATTTAATATTTATTTGCTACGTATGTGTAGGGGTCTGGGTCTATACATATATTGTTCATAGTATAATAATAATAATGATGATGATGATAAAGTTGGAAGGGACCTCGGAGGTCATCTAGTCCAACCTCCTGCTCAGGCAGGAAACCCTATACCATTTCAGACAAATGGCTGTCCAGTCTCTTCTTAAAAACTTCCAGCGTTGGCGCATTCACCGCTTCTGGAGGCAGGTGGTTCCACTGGTTAATTGTTCTCACTGTCAGGAAGTTTCTCCTTAGTTCTAGGTGTGTTTAGGTGTGTGTCATGTATGTGTTTCACTCTGAGAGCAGGCAACTAAATTTCATTTTTGATGCGTGCCGTTGTGCCCACCGTAAAAAAAAAATGACAATAAAGGTTATCTTCTCTTCTCTCTTTTGGGAACTGCTGAAAGGACTATGTTGTAAAGAGGAGATGGGGGGGGGGTTGTGTCCCTCCCCCTCTGTTGAGAGAAGGCTGTTCAAGTTTGACCTACAGTTGCAAGAAAAAGTATGTGAACCCCTTGGGATAACACGGAGTTTTGCATGAATTGGTCATAAAATGTGCTCTGAACGTCATCTAAGTCACAACAATAGAAAAACACAGTCTGCTGAAAATAATGATACACAAACATTACATGTTGCCATGGTTTAATTGAACATAACATGTAAACATTCACAGTGCAGGGAGGA